TGGTGGAGTGACTGCGTGACATCTTAGTGTGGGTGGTGTTAGTGCGTGATATCTTAGTGTGGTTGGAGTGAGTGAGTGACATCTTAGTGTTGGTAAGGTGAGTCACATCTTCGTGTGTGTGGAGTGAGTGCGTGACATCTTAGTGTGGTTGGAGTGCGTGACATCTAAGTGTTGGTGGAGTGAGTGCGTGAAATCTTAGTGTTGGTTTAGTGAGTGATATCTGACTGTTGGTGGAGTGAGTGAGTGATATCATAGTGTGGGTGGAGTGAGTGACTTCGTACTGTGGGTGGGGTGAGTGCGTGACATCTTAGTGTGGGTGGAGTGAGTGACATGTTAATGTGTGTGAAGTGAGTGAGTGACATCTTAGTGTTGGTGGAGTGAGTGATATCGTACTGTTGGTGGAGTGAGTGAGTGACAGCTTAGTGTGGGTTGAGTGTGTGAGTGGCATTTTAGTGTGCGTGGAGTGAGTGAGTGACATCCTAGTGTTGATGGAGTGAGTGACATCTTAGTGTTGGTGGAGTGAGTGACATCTTAGTGTTGGTGGAGTGTGTGAGTGACATCTTAGTGTTGATGGAGTGACTGACATCTTAGTGTTGGTGGAGTGAGTGACATCTTAGTCTTGGTGGAGTGAGTGCGTGACATCTTAGTGTGGTAGGAGTGAGTGAGGGACATCTTAGTGTTGGTGGAGTGAGTGCGTGACATCTTAGTGTGGTAGGAGTGAGTGCGTGACATATTAGTGTTGTTGGAGTGAGTGAGTGACATCTTAGTGTTGGTGGAGTGAGTGCATGACATCTTAATGTGGGTGGAGTGAATGAGTGATATCTTACTGTTGGTGGAGTGAGTGAGTGACATCTCAGTGTGGATGGAGTGAGGGAGTGACATCTTAGTGTTGGTGGAGTGAGTGACATCTTAGTGTGGGTGGAGTAAGTGAGTGACATCTTAGTCTTGGTGGAGTGAGTGATATCTTACTGTTGGTGGAGTGAGTGAGTGACATCTTCGTGTGGGTTGGGTGAGTCCGTGACATCTTTGTGTTGGTGGAGTGAGTGACATCTTAGTGTTGGTGGAGTAAATGACATCTTATTGTTGGTGGAGTGAGTGACATCTTAGTGTTGAAGGAATGATTGACATCTTAGTGTGTGAGGAGTGTGTGCGTGACATCTTAGTGTTGGTGGAGTGAGTGATTTCTTACTGTTGGTGGAGTGAGTTAGTAACATCTTAGTGTGTGTGGAGTGAGTGGGTGACGCCTTAGTGTGGATGGAGTAAGTGAGTGACATCTTAGTGTTGGTGGAGTGACTGACATCTTAGTGTTGGTGGAGTGATTGACATCGTAGTCTTGGTGGAGTGAGTGCGTGACATCTTAGTGTGGTAGGAGTGAGTGAGGGACATCTTAGTGTTGGTGGAGTGAGTGCGTGACATCTTAGTGTGGTAGGAGTGAGTGCGTGACATATTAGTGTTGTTGGAGTGAGTGAGTGACATCTTAGTGTTGGTGGAGTGAGTGCATGACATCTTAATGTGGGTGGAGTGAATGAGTGATATCTTACTGTTGGTGGAGTGAGTGAGTGACATCTCAGTGTGGATGGAGTGAGGGAGTGACATCTTATTGTTGGTGGAGTGAGTGAGTGACATCTTAATGTGGATGAAGTGAGTTAATGACATCTTAGTGTGGGTGTTGTTAGTGTGTGACATCGTACTGTGGGTGGAGTGAGTGCGTGACATCTTAGTGTTGGTGCAGTGAGTGATTTCACACTGTTGGTGGAGTGAGTTAGTGACATCTTAGTGTTGGTGGAGTGAGTGTTATCTGACTGTTGTTGGAGTGAGTGAATGACATCATAGTGTGGGTGGAGTCAGTGACATGTTAGTGTGGGTGGAGTGAGTAAGTGACATCTTAGTGTTGATGGAGTAAGTGAGTGACATCTTAGTGTTGGTGGAGTGAGTACTTTACATCTTAGTGTTGGTGGAGTGAGTGCGTGACATCTTAGTGTGGTAGGAGTGAGTGAGTGACAACTTAGTGATGGTGGAGTGAGTGAGTGACATCTTAGTGTGGGTGGAGAGATCGCGTGACATCTTAGTGTTGGTGGAGTGAGAGTGACATCTTATTGTTGCCGGAGTGAGTGCGTGACATCTTAGTGTGGGTGGTGTTAGTGCGTGACATCTAAGTGATGGTGAAGTGAGTGAGTAACACCTTAGTGTTGGTGGAGTGAGGAAGTGACATCATAGTGTGGATGGAGTGAGTGAGTGACATCTTATTGTTGGTGGAGTGAGTGCTTGACATCTTAGTGTTGGTGGAGTTAGTGATTTCTTACTGTTGGTGGAGTGAGTTTGTGACATCTTTGTGTGTGTGGAGTGAGTGGGTGACACCTTAGTGTGGATGGAGTGCGTGAGTGACATCTTAGTTTTGGTTGAGTGAGTGAGTGACATCCTAGTGTTGATTGAGTGAGTGAGTGACATCTTAGTGTGGATGGAGTGAGTGAGTGACCTTTTATTGTAGGTGGAGTGAGTGTGTGACATCTTAGTGTTGGTGGAGTGAGTGCGTGACATTTTAGTGTGGGTGGAGTAAATGAGTGACATCTTAGTGTTGGTGAAGTAGTGAGTGACATCTTAGTGTTGGTGTAGTGAGTGAGAGACATCTTAGTGTTGGTTGAGTGAATGCGTGACATCTTAGTGTTGGTGGAGTGAGTGCGTGACATCTTAGCGTGGTAGGAGTGGGTGAGTGACATCTTAGTGTTGGTGGAGTGAGTAAGTGACATCATAGTGTGGATGGAGTGAGTGAGTGACATCTTAGTGTTAGTGGAGTGATTGACATCTTACTGTTGGTGTAGTGAGTGTATGACCTCTTAGTGTGTGAGGAGTGAGTGAGTGACACCTTAGTGTTGGTGGAGTGCGTGACATCTTAGTGTTGGTGGAGTGAGTACTTTACATCTTAGTGTTGGTGGAGTGAGTGCGTGACATCTTAGTGTGGTAGGAGTGAGTGAGTGACAACTTAGTGATGGTGGAGTGAGTGAGTGACATCTTAGTGTGGGTGGAGAGATCGCGTGACATCTTAGTGTTGGTGGAGTGAGAGTGACATCTTATTGTTGCCGGAGTGAGTGCGTGACATCTTAGTGTGGGTGGTGTTAGTGCGTGACATCTAAGTGATGGTGAAGTGAGTGAGTAACACCTTAGTGTTGGTGGAGTGAGGAAGTGACATCATAGTGTGGATGGAGTGAGTGAGTGACATCTTATTGTTGGTGGAGTGAGTGCTTGACATCTTAGTGTTGGTGGAGTTAGTGATTTCTTACTGTTGGTGGAGTGAGTTTGTGACATCTTTGTGTGTGTGGAGTGAGTGGGTGACACCTTAGTGTGGATGGAGTGCGTGAGTGACATCTTAGTTTTGGTTGAGTGAGTGAGTGACATCCTAGTGTTGATTGAGTGAGTGAGTGACATCTTAGTGTGGATGGAGTGAGTGAGTGACCTTTTATTGTAGGTGGAGTGAGTGTGTGACATCTTAGTGTTGGTGGAGTGAGTGCGTGACATTTTAGTGTGGGTGGAGTAAATGAGTGACATCTTAGTGTTGGTGAAGTAGTGAGTGACATCTTAGTGTTGGTGTAGTGAGTGAGAGACATCTTAGTGTTGGTTGAGTGAATGCGTGACATCTTAGTGTTGGTGGAGTGAGTGCGTGACATCTTAGCGTGGTAGGAGTGGGTGAGTGACATCTTAGTGTTGGTGGAGTGAGTAAGTGACATCATAGTGTGGATGGAGTGAGTGAGTGACATCTTAGTGTTAGTGGAGTGATTGACATCTTACTGTTGGTGTAGTGAGTGTATGACCTCTTAGTGTGTGAGGAGTGAGTGAGTGACACCTTAGTGTTGGTGGAGTGCGTGACATCTTTGTGTTGGTGGAGTGAGTGACATCTTAGTGGTGGTGTAATGATTGACATCTTAGTGTGTGAGGAGTGAGTGCGTGACTTATTAGTGTGTGTGGAGTGAGTGGGTGACACCTTAGTGTGGATGGAGTGAGTGAGTGACATCTTAGTGTTGGTTGAGTAAGTGACATCTTAGTGTTGGTGGAGTGAGTGAGTGACATCCTAGTGTTGGTTGAGTGAGTGCGTGACATCCTAGTGTGGTAGGAGTGGGTGAGTGACATCTTAGTGTTGGTGGATTGAGTGCGTGACATCATAGTGTGGGTTGAGTGAGTGACATCTTAGTGTTGGTGGAGTGAGTGAGTAACATCTTAATGTGGATGGAGTGAGTGAGTGACATCTTATTGTTTGTGAAGTGATTGGGTGACATCTCAGTGTGGGTGGTTTTAGTGTGTGACATCTTAGTGTTGGTGGAGTGAGTGCGTGACATCTCAGTGTTGGTGGGGTGAGCGAGAGACATCTTACTGTTGGTGGGGTGAGTGAGAGACATCTTACTGTTGGTGGAGTGAGTTTATGACATCTTAGTGTGGTAGAAGTGAGTGAGTGACATCTTAGTGTTGTGGAGAGTGATATCTTAGTGTTGTAGGAGTGAGTGAGTGACATCGTAGTGTTGGTGGAGTGAGTGCGTGACATCTTAGTGTTTGTGGAGTGAGTTTGTGACATCTTAGTGTGGTAGGAGTGAGTGAGTGACATCTTAGTGTTGGTGGAGTGAGTGCGTGACATCTTAGTGTTGGTGGAGTGAGTTTGTGACATCTTAGTGTGGTAGGAGTGAGTGAGTGACATCTTAGTGTTGTTGGAGTGAGTGCGTGACATCATAGTATGGGTGGAGTGAGTGCGTGACAATCTTAGTGTTGGTGGAGTGAGTGCGTGACATCTTATTGTGGGATTAGAAGCCCCATATGGAGTGGTTTCCGTGTTGGTGAAATCTAAGTGTATGGTGCTGTCAAACCAAGAATCGTGATCAAGACGAATCCGGGATCAGAGCCCGCTATCACCACATCCTGGTTCATATTGCGACTCCATAATTTGGCCACCCAATATAAATGTTCGAAGAAATTGAAAACGTTTTGAGTTAAATTTATAAAAAAAATTGTTTGTTCAGACACATCATGGCAACTGATGTTGACAATTTGCAAAGTGGGAAGTCCTTCCCGGAAACCAACCTGCACATGTTGGACAGTTTGTTGTTGGCTGATGTGACCTTCCTCGTTGGAGATCAAAGGGAGACAATCCAGGCTCACAAATTCATTTTAGTCAGCCGAAGTTGCGTGTTTCGCACGATGTTCTGTGGATCGATCCCCGAGACGGGCCAAGTAGTGATTCCTGATATTCAGACAGACAACTTCAAGACCTTTCTAAGGTTAGTTGAGATGTTTTATTGGTATATTTCGAACTATCTGACAGACGGATAACAGAAGATAACAGAAGGTACAAAGAGAACAAGTTGTTGACATGGCACAATCTCCAGCAGCCACAATATGACACGACAACGTATCACCATATCTAGAGCTGTTTTGTAAGCATCTAAAACAAGAGACAAAACGATTTACACAACCCTAATTAATCTCAACTGAAAGTAGTCTATTGTAGAATACCGACTATGCCTTGATGGTTCTCGAGTTTTAAATATTTACTCATATGGTGTAATTACACCAGCATGCAATAATTTCTGATTTGTGAAATGTTTACCGGCTAGAAATTACATCACTCAGTGGTTTCTGAAATATCTCATGTTTGCCTACTTGGTATGTTAACACTGATATTCCATAGTTTCTGTTTAACAAAACGTAACATCACGATCATTTATCACCCAAAACTGGTTCCCACAGGAGATATCGCTACGGTGAGATCAAGAGATATCTACACTGTAGATATCGCTGCAATGAAATTGCATAACAATGCTTTGCAGACCACTGTGACGTCATTGGTTACCATGACGTCGCAATCAAATGACATAACTCATGTTGATATATTTGATATCAAAAGACACTCGGGTGAGATTATCTATTTATCACCCAAAACTGATTTCCATGAGAGATATATGTATGTGAGATTAATGAAATTGTAACAATGCTTTGCGGCCAGTGTGATGTCATCGGTTACCATGACATCACAATCAAATGACATCACTAATCCCACTGCCACTGAAACTGTGGCTGTATTAGTTACATCCAAGACACTTGGTGTTGCTATTCAGAAAGTTAAGCTAAATAATGATTTTTGATGATTAATAGAATCCCACCCTTGTGTCTCAGCAAGCCTGAGTTGATACATTTGATATCCAAACACACCCGAGTGAGACTATATATGACATTAACATTTCATCACCAGGTTTCTCTACACGGGGGAGGTCGCGTTAACTCCTAACACTGTCCTTGGTCTGATGAACGCTGCTAAGAAATACGACGTCCCAGGATTGGAAACGCAATGTGAGGAGTTCTGCTTACAATCTCTGTCGCCTAGCAACGCATGTGTATTCCTACAACTAGCAGTCCTGTTTGATAAAGAAAACCTCAAGGACAGAGCTCTTCTGGTAATTAAATCCAGAGCGGAGATGACTATTGCTAGCGAGGGATTCTGTGAGCTAAGCAAGGAATGTCTAAAGCTGATCCTGAAGGCAGATGACATTAAAGTTGACGAGATTTGCATCTTCCGATCTGTGATGTCGTGGGCGGAAGCTGAATGTCGACGTCAGGGAAGGGAGGTAACTCCAGAAGAGAAAAGAGAAGTGTTGGAAGAGTGTTTGTTTCTCATTCGTTTTCCATTTATTTCAATGGCGCAATTTGCCACGACTGTATGCAATGAAGGTATATTAAGTGATGCCCATGTCATAATGTTCTTACGAAAATACTCTATCAGCCACCTGGATATACGGCCGTTCTGTAACATATCTCGGAAATCTCCTGTCGTTTACTTGTCTCGCCTACCTCCTGACCAAAAGTACTACGAGACAAAGCGTTTTTCTCACAATGTATGTGATGCGTTGTTTATATCCTGTGATGCCAGTGTTCACCTGACCGGGCTGAGCGTGTATTCTGGGAGCCAGGGAGGCAAGGTGCCTGTAAAGATAGTTGTTACTGACACTGATGACACAACCCTGCTGAAGCATCACCAGGACGTGGATGTGACAGGGGCACAACTCTCAGATGTGGTGATGTTTCCTTCACCTCTGACTGTTGACAAAGGAGAGAAGATAAAAATCAAAGTCAACAGGTTGCGCGATTTATTGAATAATTATACATGTAAAATGAACAATCAGCGAGTAATGAGGCATGAAGCATCTGGTGTTGTGTGGACACTGGAGCACTGTGAGGAAAGTGATTCTGACGACAGCCTAGCCTATGGATTGCTTACTGGGATTTTCTATAAATTGTAGTGTGTTTACCTTTTACCCTGATCCGTATTAACAAATTCAGATGACCCAGGGACAACTCTCCTTCCAACTCCTCCATCTCTGTACGACAGTGGGGCGGTGGGGTAGCCTAGTGGTTAATGCGTTCGCTCGTCACGCCGAAGACCCAGGTCCGAGTCCTAATAAATTCTGATGTGCCCCTCCGCTACATTGCTAAAAACGGAGTAAAACGATACTCACTCACTGTACGACAGTAATGTATTCAGGAAATACCGCATTTGAAGAATAGACATATATGATATTTGATGATTAGTTCTTTTTAACATGTGGCACCTACATTACGACCGTACCAACTAGAAGAAACACCGGGTTGCTAAGATCTTTACATTATGTGTATAAAGTCTTATCATTTTTACGTTGGTGACTGTGTTGTCCCAAGGATATATTTTTCAACCAACTTTCTATCAATGCAGAAAATTAATCAACAAAGACAGTGTCGTTTGAGACCCAAGATTTCCTTGAATTTTGGAACTTTTTGACAGCCAACTGTGACGTCATAGATTCAGCGTCATAGTGAGTGGTGGGCTTGATGATGTTTTTATGGGTGCCCAAGTCACGTTCTCTTCCTAAGTTGCTGAAGTTCAATGCTTGTTTTATATACGAGTGTAGTATTATAATGAAGCAAAAATTCATTTCGGCTCCAACTTTTAAATGAACGCTAGTATCAGTGTTTCCATAATTTAGATCGGCAATCCACTCAAACCATTGTACCCAAACCATGGCGCTTCACCAAAGTTGAAAGTTCTATATCCATCGACAGGTGATCCAAGTACTCGTGGTATTTGTTCTGATTTTTAACACGGTGACTTTTTTATTCTCGATACAGCTACTTATGTATGTCTCAATTCAATACTAGGGCGGTCGGGTAGCCTAGTGGTTAAAGCGTTCGCTCGTCACGCCGAAGACCCGGGGTCGATTCCCAAATTGGGTACAATGTGTGAAGCCCATTTCTGATGACCCCCGCCGTGATATTGCTGGAATATTGCTAAAAGCGGCGTAAAACCTTACTCACTCACTCACTCACTCAATTCAATACTCAATGAGCCTGTTCGTTTGATAATGGTTTCAAAAATATATTATCTACCACATTACATATATATCGTCACGGTGCTTAGTAAACGATTAGGTTGCCTACGATAGAGCAACCGCTGACCCACAGAGGAGCCGACTCGAAACTGTCAAAAACGTCCAAGAATAGACAGGCTTGATCTCCAGATGCATTTCAGCGTATCCCACTTTCGTGGATCGATGCTCATGATGTCAATCACTGGAATGTCTGGTCCAGACTCGATTATTTACAGACCGCCGTCATATAGCTGGAATATTGCTGAGTGCAGCGTTATGCAACATATACATGATTGCACTTTGAGGCATCTGTCTGGGAAATATCCAAACTAACATAAAGAAGTTGGTTGAGAAATTATTCATTGTTAATAATCCATGACTGACTACCATCGTACAACAGTTGCAAAGGACCATGCGAATTGATTAGATGACATGCTAAGGCAATATACTTGGCACAGGTTTGGTGTATAAAAGTTCTCATTTTCAGTTTATGGTCTTGCATACTTAAAGCCCCTCTATGCGTCTCATTCTCTCATTTTATTCACAAAACATGAAGGATGAATTTTTCTGAATTTTTAGGACGTCTAAGGTAAACTAGACTTGAAGTTGAGATTCTTCTGAATGCACAGTATCTGTAAGCCCTGAAATGAATTGAGTTCTCATTTTAAAAATAAATATAAAACGGGTAAATACTCACCACCACGTCCATTATATACGCTTTTTTATATACAAACAGGACAAGTGATACAACTGAAGACGTGTCAGCCTTTGATTTATCTAATAAAAAATGTCGGGAACATACTTTGGATTTGTTTCGGATACATGCCAATGTAAAAAAAGGGTTTGTGTGTCTGGTTGATTGTATGTATGTTTATTATCGATTATTAATTATGAGAGGCAGATCCAAGTTATTTTTTAAACTAACTGCTTTTACCCTCCGTGGGGACGGGGTACATTTTACTGGTTGTGAATTTCAAATGGAGGGGAGGGTTCCCCCACCGATGATTATTTCATTCATAGTCTGTGTCTAAATCTAGGATAAGTTATTGTACGACAAAATGCTGTTTTAGGTTAGACGTGAATGTGGTGTACAGCTTTAGAGAAATTGGACCGCCTCCGTGGTCTAGTGGTAGAGCGCCCGCCCGGAGAGCGGAAGGTCCGGGGTTCGATCCCCTGCCGCGTCATACCAAAAGACGTTAAAAGATGGTACTTGTTGTTACCCTGTCTGGCGCTCGGCACTAAGAGGTTAAAACAAGGACTGGTCGGCTTGGAGGCATGGTATCTCAGTGTGCTAGCACTATAAATCGGCATCAGTCCGGTCTAGTACAAGCAGCCACACGCACACACGTGCATGCACATCGCTATATAAGTGCAATAATCTTGGACGCGACGTTAAACTTTAGATAAATTGTAATGTAACAGGTATTTTTAATGTGATATTGTAATATATATGTCATGTATTTGTTGTTAAACAATTATCGGTATTTATTTCATTATTTTATTTGTGTCTCTTCCAAACATGTGGTGCTCCATATTATAATTATAGATGGCGTTTGGACAAGACTAGAGTCCTGCATGTAGTAAGCTAAATGACAGTCACTAATATCCCTCTATTGATCAACGAAATACATATTATTAAAACTGTTTAAACGGCAGTATTAACTGCACCAGCCATGTCTAAGCAATACATGACATTCATTTGTATAGAAAACAAAATTAGTTTCAGCGATATGCTAATTGTTTGGTATGAAGACCTGTGAACTGTGATGGTAACTGAAGCCTCCCCACACCATGATGCTTCCTCCTCCCCGCGGGATGACGTGGACCTTGAGTGGCTGCAGCTGTCTCTGTTGCTCATGGCTTTCGGTCACGCAGATGTGTCACCCGGATGTAACGGTCCTGCTCAGGGCGCCGTTCCACAAAGGGATCTTAGTGCTACGTTGATCGTAAGCCTATGATAAAGTATTGGAGTTACGACCAACTTAGCACTAAGATCGCTTTGTGGAACGGGGCACTGGAGTTGTGACCCTTGGCTGTCCAGATCGAGGCCAGCTGTGGACACTGCCTGTCTGTTGATGCCTTGCGATCAATCTGTTGATGGTAGATGCACGACATCCAAAGTGCCTCGACATCGCATGTGACGTTGATCCGGCCTGTGGCATCCCAATGGCAACGACTCTCAGTTAATTCAGGTCGGGGAGCCTAGTGGTTAAATCGTTCGCACGCCACGCCGAAGACCCGGGTTCGATTCCCGAAATGGGTACAATGTGTGAAGCCCATTTCTGGTGTCCCCCGCCGTGATATTGCTGGAATACTGCTAAAAGCGGTGTAAAACTATACTCACTCACTCACTAGTTAATCGAACTATGTATCCTGTACCTTTTCAAAGTCGAGTGTGAAATGCTTAGTGCTTTTTTATATAGTGGCTTATAAAGGATTGACAAGGGGGAAAATGCACGGTATATCTGCATGTGATTTGCGCTGCATGTGTAAAAAAACAACCTATTACATACATTTCCACAAAAAACTTTACTTGTGTTTCTTTTGCAGTTATGTATATATTTCCTTTGTTTTGATTTTATCAACTTAATCATGTGTGTTTCGATGTAATTTGATTGTTCATTGGTGTTGCGTGGTTATTTCCTGATTTCATTCTTTCTGTACAAACTGATTTCTGGGTTAACCTTAGTGTTTCAACTTGGGAATCAAAACGTAACGGTGTAGATGTTATAATAAACTACTTTTACCTTTTTCTATGTGTTTCATTAATCTTTGAAAAGAAGTACAATCTGCACGGATTGCCAAATATAATGTCTTACATCTTGTGCAATACATATATACATACGCACGCACGCGCGCGCCAACACACACACGCGCACACAGATTATCAAAGTTGTTTGCTTTGGCAGCTATAAAGCCCAGGATGGTCATCTTAAGCAGATGTTTGACATCTAAATTTCAACATTAACTAGCCACGTACCATAACATGCTGTATTAATTCTCAGGAAAACTTTTTTTACAAAGTATACTTATAAAAAATACAGAAAACGAACTTGATAATCTATTGAACTGCTCCATTGCAATGATAATTACCTTTCAGGTCCATCCTCTGAATCTTCCCATCGTATGATCTGTCTTAGTCCGTGCGACCGTCACGAGAAACATCAGTTGTTCTTGTACGTCCTCTTCATCTGTTCAGCAATATGAAAGAAATGACTTGGGTTTTCTGGTCAGATCGACAGTTGAAACAAGGAAATTTGGCCAAGTTTAGATGTATTGATGAGCTGGTGAAGTTCAATAAGGATCAAGTAGCCAATTCCCTTCCAAATATTTACCCACCTCATCTAGAAATAAAGGTCACCAGTGAGACCGCCTTGTCTGTTTCATATTTAGATCTAGGCAGTGACAGAGTGACAAAAAACTGTCCACAAGATTGGAGGCGAGGTGAGGTGAGGTCAAATTGGGTTTAATGTCGAGTTCAAGAATATTGCACATATATAGTGACGTGCATGCACGTGTGTGTGTGTGTGTGTGTGTGTGTGTGTGTGTGTGTGTGTGTGTGTGTGTGTGTGTGTGTGTGTGTGTGTGTGTGTGTGTGTGTGTGTGTGTGTGTGTGTGCGTATGTCTGCTTGTATTATTGCCAATATTACTGATGCCATTATGGTGCTAGCCCACTGAGATACCATGCCCAGTTTAACATTAATACGCAACTCTGACACAGCATACTGATTCAAAGCAGACCACTTATTTTAGCCCCGTAATGCTGAGCGCCAGGCAGGGTAACAACAAGTACCATCTTTTACCTTCTTTGGTATGACGTGGCCAGGAGTGAACCCCCGACCTTCCTCTCTCCAGGCAGACGCCCTTCTACTAGACCACAGAGGCGGTCCAACAAGACTGTATGACAAGGGGGATGACTTCAACTTTCCAATAGTCAACTTAACCTTTATGTCCAGCAATATTGCAGCAGCAGCAGCCTTTGGTATCCATATTTCACAGCTTTTGATGTACAATCGCGCATGCTCTTTCTATCAGGATTTCACAAGGTTTTATGGTAGCTTGGGAAGATGGAGATCTAGGTACACTGCATATTGTGGTACCCTGGACCGGTTTGTAAATTTGGGTGCAAAAACAAGAAAAATCCCTCACAATCTTTCTGGGTATTTTTTTTTTATCAATAACATTACAGAAAATAAATTGTTTGATTTGTTTTAAACTTGTCTTTAAAACTTATATCTGTACAATATGATGTTCATATAAATTTGTACAAAAGGGATGTAAAATGGACTATGCTCCAAGAAGGAAACATTCAAAGCATGTAGAAACACAATACAGGACAACGATATGTACATATGATATGTCGCTTTCTCCACACGTATCAATGACAAGGATATGTACATAATGATATGTCATTTTCTTCCACGCGTATCAATGACAATGATATTCACACATGATTGTACACAAGCTCAGCACGACAACACTGATATATTTACAACAGTTGCCAATAACAACAAGATTATCCACACAGATAAAACATAGTCTAGGGTTGATCTTGAAAATCTATTATTTAGTACTTAAGTTTAAGCTGACAAGCGGGCATCAATGTATATATCTCCAGATGCTGCAACATTCGTAAACACAAAATAAGAACACCGTCTCTGATGATTTTCATTTCCTGAAGTAAGATCAACATTTCTAACATTTAATATCATAAACAGCAAATACAAATTTTGTGACATCAGGTTAAGAATACATACTAGTGTGGTGAGTAGGAATATGTTGGATAATTGGTTTCGAATGTTTCTTGTTTAAAAAGAAAAGTAATCACAATAAGCATCATTTTAGATTTTGATGAAAACACTTCATCCTGTGTATTTCTGTGTATTTCTGTTTATCGCCTTACACCCTACCAACCACTAACACCCTTTCCAACTAACACCCCTCCCCCACCAACACCCCTTTCCAGCTAACACCCGCCCCTCCACTAACACCCTTTCCAACTAACACCCGCCCCTCCACTAACACCCTTTCCAACTAACACCCCTCCCCCACCATCACCCCTTCCCTGCAGACACACACCCCACCACTAACACCCTTTCCAGCTAAAACCCCTCCCCCACCAACACCCCTTCCCTGCTAACACCCCTCCCCACCACTAACACCCTTTCCCACTAACACCCTTTCCAGCTAACACCCTTCCCCTCCACTTACACCCTTTCCAACTAACACCCCTCCCCCACCAACACCCCTTCCCTTCTAACACACACCCCACCACTAACAACCTTTCCAACTAAGACCCCTCCCCACCAACACCCCCCCCTCCCCTCCACTAACACCCTCCCCTCCACTAACACCTTCCCCTCCACTAACACCCTCCTCTACAAACACCCTCCTCCACTTACACCCTCCCTCATTACCTAACCTGAATATTAAATAAATAATTATCAATTTCCAACATTTCAGAGATTTGAATTGAACTCTGAACAGGTATGTCCTACAAATATCAATTCCAGCACTTCTAATGTGCCCAGGAAGGATTAATCATGTTGTTGATCATCTTAACTTAAAAATGTGAGTTTGTTCCATACTTGGTCCCCATTATACATATCTACAAGATCTTGCTGACATACGCATACAGCAATCACTGCACTCCAAGGCACGGACATCATGCAATGATTGTCAACCTTAAACAACATTCATTTCAATGTGTGACACACACGTCTCCAGGCCAATGAAAATATTATACATGTTCTACCAATATCACAGGAAGGAAATATAACTCGTATTGCATCAACATTATTATTGTTGTTGTTACTGTAAGAATCTAGTATCCAATAAAACATCCACCTTAGGAAATTTAACACAGCATGCATTAACAAGTACAACAACGTCATAATGACAAACAGATGTTTGCCTCCTTGGGAAAATGTTGGCAAGTATTTCAAGAAGTCCTCAGATTTTAAGGCCAAGTTAGTATACTCTGGGATGAGTGAGTGAGTGTTACATTTATTGCTGCTTTGAACAGTTTTCAGTTATATCGGGTCGTGTCAGGAAGGTGATGCAGGTACATCAAGGATAGAAATTACAAGAACATCTATAATATTAATAAAACTGGTCCCGGCTAGCGGGCTACTGCTAACTGCCATCCCGGTACAGTGGTATGAATAAATGACATTGCGTAGTTCACAATCAACAAAGTAGTTTCTCTATCACAGTCAACCAACTTTAATTGGCCTTGAGTTTGACCCAGGAAGAGAGATGTGACGTGATTGCGAAGAGCCAGCATCCCTGTACACGACAGCAGTGCCACGACGGAGCACCTGTAGAGGGGCCTTGTGATGATGACTGAAGCCTCCCCACACCATGACGCTTCCTCCTCCCCACGGGTTGACGTGGACCTTGAGTGGCTGCAGCTGTCTACGTTGCTCTTGGCTGTCGGTCATGCAAATGTGTCACCCGGATGTAACGGTCCTGCACTGGAGTAGTGACCCTTGGCCGTCCAGATTGAGGCTGGTCTGGGACACTGCCTGCTTTGCGAACTCTCTGGTGATAGTAGTCACATTTCATCCAAAGTGCCTCGCCATCGCATTTCACATTAGTCTGGTCTGTAGTATCTCAATGGCATTGGGTATACAGTTCTTTTCACAAATTATTTTGTTCATTTCACAAACAAAGAAACCTGACGTGCGTTTCATTGGTGGTGAAGTTTATACTGGTGCTGCCAAATATTTCACTCATTGTGCCTTTTATGATTGTAAACTTAATCAGATGTGTTTCGATGTAATTTAATTGTTCATTGATCTTAAGCGGTTATTTCCTGATTTCACAATTTTTGTACAAATCGATTTCTGGGTTAACTTTCGCGTTTCAACTTGGGACAGTGTAGATATTATGATAAACTACGTTTACTATTTTCTATGACTAGCTTTCAACTATGGGCAATAACAATGTGGACTAGTCAATGTAGTACATTGTTTGAGTAGGTCATTGCAAGTGTATTTAGTCTGTTGAGGCCGTTTGTACATGAGTGACAACCAGTTGAAGGTGATGGGGGTCGAAATGGACCCAGAAATGGACAAGAACGAGTACCGAGCAGTCATCAAGTTTTTGACTTGAGAGAAAAAGTACCCTCCAAGAAATTCATGACCGCATGTCACAAACGTATGGGTTTTGTGCCCCAGCTATTCCTCAAAACATGCAAACAGTGAGTGTTCCATACAAATACTCGACAGCTTGAAATAAAATAGTCACAGTGTCACACCCTAAAGGGGTCAGTAGAGTAGACAGTAGACGTAGCTGAGGCAAAGAAGTGTCCTATTAACACAACCCACAACTCTCTCCAAACGCAGGAGATATCTTTGTTGATATGAAATGAACTAACATTGAAGGCCTTTGTATTTCGGTGAGACTGTAGATGTCACGTGACGTCAACCAGGAAGCAAGACCGGGTAGTGTTGTCTCGAGGTGTTACACATACAGGTAAAGAAATCTGACGTACATTTACATCAACGATTGTATATTAATGAAGTGTTTGATGAACATGTACATACTTATGTTCACCTAGTTGCAGCTCATTATGTCCACAGGTCACTTAAGCCAGGTGGAACTGATGAACGCTGGTGTTTATAAATCGAAACGTGAGGTCCTAATGCCTGTCCCTGGTTATTTCCCTTGGTGTTCGTCTCACAGCAACAACAAAGCTCTCTTTTGATTACAGACAACCATGTGTTTTCCCATGTGCTTCCATAGTAACGTTATATATTGTTTTAAAAATAACTAAGCATTCAACAACTATTACATGTACACGTGTGCACAGTCTGGCCTTAGGGCAGAAATAAAAGCAAAGGAATTGACTAGCTCAGCCAGCTCCTTCTCCGAGTTCAGGAAGCTAAACACACCACCCCCAGTTCCGCACCAAATGTCACTTGCTTGAGAGTATCTGTGGTCACACTCAGCATAAGTCAGCATAAGTCATCATGTAGGCGGAGTCCTAAACCTTTTCAAAATTCATTATGGTATGGCATTCCCATATTTGGTGGGTGACACCTTAGTGTGGATGGAGTGAGTGAGTGACATCTTAGTGTGGGTGGAGTGAGTGACATCTTTATGAGAGTGGAGTGAGTGAATGACACCTTAGTGTGGGTGGAGTGAGTGACATCTTAGTGTGGATGGAGTGTGTGAGTAACATCTTAGTGTAGATGGAGTGAGTGCTTGACATCTTAGTGTGGATGGAGTGTGTGAGTAACATCTTAGTGTGGATGGAGTTAGTGACATCTTAGTGTGCATGGAGCGAGTGAGTGACACCTTAGTGTGGATGGAGTGAGTGAGTGACATCTTAGTGTTGGTGGAGTGAGTGCGTGACATCATAGTGTGGATGGAGTGAGTGAGTGCATCTTAGTGTGGATTGAGCGAGTGAGTGACATCTTAGTGTGGATGGAGTTAGTGACATCTTAGTGTGGATGGAGCGAGTGAGTGACATCTTAGTGTGGATGGAGTGAGTGAGTGACACCTTAGTGTGGATGGAGTGAGTGACATCTTAATGTGAGTGGAGTGTGTGAGTAACATCTTAGTGTGGGTGGAGTGAGTGAGTGACATCTTAGTGTGAATGGAGTGAGTGAGTGACATCTTAGTGTTGGTGGAGTGAGTGCGTGACATCATAGTGTGGATGGAGTTAGTGACATCTTAGTGTGGATGGAGCGAGTGAGTGACACCTTAGTGTGGATGGAGTGAGTGAGTGACATCTTAGTGTTGGTGGAGCGAGTGAGTGACATCTTAGTGTGGATGGAGTTAGTGACATCTTAGTGTGGATGGAGCGAGTGAGTGACATTTTAGTGTGGATGGAGTGAGTGAGTGACATCTTAGTGTGGATGGAGTTAGTGACACCTTAGTGTGGATGGAGCGAGTGAGTGATACCTTAGTGTGGATGGAGTGAGTGACATCTTAATGTGAGTGGAGTGAGTGAGTGACATCTTAGTGTGGATGGAGTGAGTGAGTGACATCTTAGTGTGGATGGAGCGAATGAGTGACATCTTATTGTTGGTGGAATGAGTGGGTGACACCTTAGTGTGAATGGAGTAAATGGGTGAGATCTTAGTGTGGATGGAGTGAGGGACATCTTAGTGAGAGTGGAATGAGTGACATCTTAGTGTGGATGGAGCGAGTGACATCTTAGTGTGGATGGAGTTAGTGACATCTTAGTGTGGATGGAGCGAGTGAGTGACACCTTAGTGTGGATGGAGTGAGTGAGTGACATCTTAGTGTGGATGGAGTGAGTGAGTGACACCTTAGTGTGGATGGAGTGAGTGACATCTTAATGTGAGTGGAGTGTGTGAGTAACATCTTAGTGTGGATGGAGCGAGTGAGTGACACCTTAGTGTGGATGGAGTGAGTTACATCTTACTGTGAGTGGAGTGTGTGAGTAACATCTTAGTGTTGGTGGAGTGAGTGAGTGACATCTTTGTGTGAATGGAGTGAGTGAGTGACATCATTGTGTTGGTGGAGTGAGTGCGTAACATCATAGTGTGGATGGAGTGAGTGAGTGACACCTTAGTGTGGATGGAGTGAGTTAGTGACATCTTAGTGTTGGTCTAGTGAGTGCGCGACATCTTCGTGTTGGTGGAGTGAGTGCATGACATCTTATTGTGGGATTAGAAGCCCAATGTGGAGTGGTTTCCGTGTTGGTGAAATCTAAGTGTATGGTGCTGTCAAACCAAGGATCGTGATCAAGACGAATCCGCTATCACCACATCCTGACCCATATTGCGACTCCAGTATCAAGGTTTGAAGAAAACGAGAACGTTTTTAGTTAAATTTATAAAAATTCTTCCTCAGAGGGAATACAGAGTGTTTTCATTTTGTTTGTTCAGGCACATCATGACAACTGATGTTGACAATTGGCAAAATGGGAAGACCTTCCCGGAAACCAACCTGCACATGTTGGACAGTTTGTTGTTGACTGATGTGACCTTCCTAGTTGGAGATCAAAGGGAGACAATCCAGGCTCACAAATTCATTTTAGTCAGCCGTAGCTGCGTGTTTCACGCGATGTTCTGTGGATCGATCCCCGAGACGGGCCAAGTACTGATATCTGATATTCAGACAGACAACTTCAAGACCTTTCTAAGGTTAGTTGAGATGTTTTATTGGTATATTTCGAACTATCTGGCAGAAGGATAATAGAAGATAACAGAAGGTACAAAGAGAACAAGTTGTTGACATGGCACAATCTCCAGCACCCACAATATGACACGACAACATATCACCATATCTGGAGCCGTTTTATAAGCATCAAAAACAAAAGACAAAACGATTTACAAAACCCTAATTAATCTCAACTGAAAGCAGTCCATTGTAGAATACCGACTACATCGTGATGGTTTCTTGAGTTTTTAATGTTTACTCACATGGTGTAATTACACAGCAATAATTTCTGTTTTGTGAAAGTTTTTCTGGCTAGAAATTACATCACTCAGTGGTTTCTGAAATATCTCATGTTTGCCTACTTGGTACACTGATATTCCATAATTCTGTTCAACATAACGAAAAATCACGATCATTTATCATCCAAAACTGGCTCCCACAGGAGATATCACTTGGTTGAGATCAAGAGATATCTACACTGTAGATATCGCTGCAATCAAATTGCATCACAATGCTTTGCAGACCATTGTGACGTCACTGGTTACCATGACGTCGCAATCAAATGACATCACTAATGGCTCTGCTACTGAAGCTGTTAGCAGTACTTTTTAAAAATTAAGACACTGCTTATTACTTTCTACAAACTATAAAAGTTGGAAAAATGATGTTGGATGATAAATAAAATCTCGGCAAGCCTCGGTGTTTTCCCACTTTTATCAACTCGTGTTGATTTATTTGATATCAAAAGACACTCTCTTGAGGTTCTCTATTTATCACCCAAACTGATTTCAATGAGAGATATCTGTATGTGAGATCAATGAAATTGTAACAATACTTTGCGGCCAGTGTGATGTCATCAGTTACCATGACATCACAATCAAATGACATCACTAATCCCACTGCCACTGAAACTGTGGCTGTATTAGTTACACCCACGACACTTGGTGTTACTATTCAGAAAGTTAAGCTAAATAATGATTTTTGATGATTAATAGAATCCCACCCTTGTGTCTCAGCAAGCCTGAGTTGATACATTTGATATCCAAACACACCCGGGTGAGACTTTATGTAACATTAACATTTCATCACCAGGTTTCTCTACACGGGGGAGGTCACGTTAACTCCTAACACTGTCCTTGGTCTGATGTACGCTGCTAGAAAATACAATATCACAAGACTGGAAAAGCGGTGTGAGAGGTTCTGCTTAGAATCTCTGTCGCCTACCAACGCATGTCTATTCCTACAACAAGCAGACCTATTTGATAAAGAAGACCTGAAAGAAAGCGCTCTTGAAGTCATTAAATCCAATGCCGAGGTGAGTGTTGCTAGCGAGGGATTCCGTGAACTAAGCAAGGATTGTCTAAAGCTGATCCTGAAGACAGGTGACATGAGAGTTGACGAGATTTGCATCTTCCGATCTGTGATGTCGTGGGCAGAAGCTGAATGTAGACGTCAGGGAAGGGAAATAGCTCCAGAAGAGAAAAGAGAAGTTCTGGGAGAATGTTTGTTTCTCATTCGTTTTGCATCCATTTCAATGGCGCAATTTGCCACAACTGTCTGCAATGAAGGTATTTTAAGTGATGCCCATGTCATAATGTTCTTACGAAAATACTCTATCAGCCACCTGGATATACGGCCGTTCTGTGACATATCTCGGAAATCTCCTGTCTATATCTTGTCTCGCTCACATCCTGACCAAGAGTCCCACTCGACTTTTTACGATACAACCTCTAGATATGATGCGTTGTATATATCCTGTGATACCAGTGTTCACCTGACCGGGCTGAGCATGTACCCTGGGAGCCAGGAAGGCAAGGTGTATGTAGGCATAGTTGTTACTGACAGTGATGACACAACCCTGCTGAAGCATCACCAGGGCGTGGATGTGACAGAGGGGCAACTCTCAGATGTGGTGATGTTTCCTTCACCTCTGTCTGTTAGCAAAGGAAAGAAGATAAAAATCAAAGTCACCAGGTCGCACAATTCATTTCAAAATTATACATGTAAAATGAACAATCGGCGAGTAATGAGGCATGAAGCATCTGGTGTTGTGTGGACACTGGAGCACTGTGAGGAAAGTGAATTTGAGAACAGCCTAGCCTATGGATTACTTACTGGGATTTTCTACGAATTGTAGTGTGTTTACCTTTTAGCCTGATCCGTATTATCAAATTCAGATGACCCAGGGACAACTCTCCTTCCAACTCCTCCATCTCTGGCGGTGGGGAAGCCAAGTGGTTAATGCGTTCGCTCTTCACACCGGAGACCCGGGTCCGATTCCCCACATGGGCACAATGTGTGAAGTCCTGGTAAATTCTGATGTGCCCTTGCGATCAATCTGGTAATGGTAGACACATGACATCCAAAGTGCCTCGACATCGCATATGACGTTCATCCGGCCTGTGGCATCCCAATGGCAACGACTCTCTGGAGTTAAGTTAATTGAACTATTTATCCTATCCTTTTTCAAAGTCGAGTGTGAAATGCTTACTTCTTTTTTTATATAGTGGCTTATTAAGGATAGACAAGGGGGGAAAATGCACAGTATATCTGCATGTGTAAAAAAACAAACAATTATATATACATTTCCATTCGGCTTTCACAAAAAAACTTAACTTGTGTTTCTTTTGCAGTTATGTATATATTGCCTTTGTTTTGCCTTTTATCAACTTAATCATGTGTGTTTCGATGTAATTTGATTGTTCATTGGTGTTATGTGGTTATTTCCTGATTTCATTCTTTCTGTACAAACTGATTTCTGGGTTAACCTTCGCGTTTCAACTTGGGAATTAAAACGTAACGGTGTAGATATTATAATAAACTACTTTTACTATTTTCTATGTGTTTCATTAATCTTTGAAAAGAAGTACAATCCACCATTGCCAAATATAACGTCTTACATCTTGTGCAATACATATATACATACGCACGCGCCCGCCAACAGACACACGCGCACACAGATTATCAAAGTAGTTTGCTTTGGCAGCTATAAAGCACAGGATGGCCATCATAAGCAGATGTTTGATATCTAAATTTCAACATAATCTAGCCACGCACCATGAACACACGCTGTATTAATTCTTAGAAGGAGAATTTTTGTTTACAAAGTATACTTATAAAAAATACATAAAACGAATTTGATAATCTTTTGTAACTGCTCCATTGCAATGATAATTACCCTTTCAGGTCCATCCTCTGAATCTTTCCATTGTATGATCTGTCTAAGTCTGTGCGACCGTCACGAGAAACATCAGTTGTTCTTGTACGTCCTCTTCGTCTGTTCAGCGATATCAAAGAAATGACTCGTATTTTCTGCTCATATCGACAGTTGAAACAAGGAAATTTGGCCAAGTTTAGATGTATTGATGAGCTGATGTAGTTCAATAACGATCAAGTAGCCAGCAGCAGCAGTAGCCTTTGGTGTCCATATTTCACAGCTTTTGATGTACAATCGAGCATGCTCTTTCTATCACGATTTCAAAAGGTTTCCTGTCAGAGACATTTCCAAATTTGACGCATATGTCCAATGCAATTCCCAATTTTCACTTGTACCATATGTTCCCATGTATTTTCAGGTGATCAATTGACTTGCCTATGCATGTGTTTGTGACAGGAGCCACTGGTGGGGCAGGATACGCTCACCTCTTCACAAACACCTGGTATCATCACTATTTGATAGTGATTCATAAACGCATGCTCATGATATAACTGAAATCGTACAATCAACTCTGCTTTTAGCAGAGACTTCTTATGAATATGGAAAGGGTTTTGTTGCTTTGATTTACCATTATGCTACCCCAAGCCCCCTTTATCATGGAAAATTGGGCATCCTGGAACCCTGAGGTCCTGCGTCTTCCAGGCAAAGGTGGAAACTGACTGTAAAATTCCAGTTTCCACCCTTGCTGATGTTGGCTGGAATTTCCAGGCTCGATCGCAGGTCCAACAGTGGCTATTACGATTTATGTCCCTTCTATGTCCCTCCTTCTGACCAATCAGATTCAATGTTTCATTTCACTTTCATTTGTTTCAAACAAAATGATGGCGCCCAGTCAAGACGATCTGATGGATAATCAACATTTCTATTGTAATATCAGGGTGTTTGCATGCGAAGTGCGTCAGATCACTTGAGCACCTTGATTAAAAACATGAAAAGATGTGTAAAATATCTGTCGACGCAGAGTAGACGGTACACATGCTTTGCAAATCCTGCAGTCGACCACAACCTGCACCTTGAAATCCTTGTTGTTTATGAACCTGTTCTCTAGTTCGTGACATGATTTTGATTGGACTATGCATAGGCTCGTTAGTCCAGCCAAAATGTAACACCAGAATTCCAGCCTAGTTTGGCAAGGGGGGAAACAGGACTTCTATAGGCAGTTACCTCCATTGCCTCGGGAAGGTGGAGATCCAGGTACACTGCAAATTGTGGCACCGTCACACCCTGGACCAGCTTGTAAATTTTGGTGCAAAAACAAGAAAAATCCATCACAAACTTTCTGGGTATTTATTTATTTTATCAATAACATATTTCAGAAAATAAATTGTTTGATTTGTTTTAAACTTGTATTTAAAACTTATATCTGGACAATATGTTCATATCAATTTGTACAAAAGGGATGTAAAATGGACTAACCTCCAAGAAGGAAACATTGAAGCATGTAGAAACACAGTACAGGACAATGATATGTACATATGATATGTCATTTTCCTCCACGCGAATCAATGACAAGGATATTCACACATGATTATACACAAGCTCAGCACGACAACACTGATATATTTACAACAGTTGCCAATAACAACAAGATTATTCACACAGATAAAACATAGTCTAGGGTTGATCTTGAAAATCTATTATTTAGTACTTAAGTTTAAGCTGACAAGCGGGCATCAATGTATATATCTCCAGATGCTGCAACATTCGTAAACACAAAATAAGAACACCGTCTCTGATGATTTTCATTTCCTGAAGTAAGATCAACATTTCTAACATTTAATATCATAAACAGCAAATAAAAATTTTGTGACATCAGGTTAAGAATACATACTAGTGTGGTGAGTAGGAATATGTTGGATAATTGGTTTCGAATGTTTCTTGTTTAAAAAGAAAAGTAATCACAATAAGCATCATTTTAGATTTTGATGAAAACACTTCATCCTGTGTATTTCTGTGTATTTCTGTTTATCGCCTTACGCCCTACCAACCACTAACACCCTTTCCAACTAACACCCCTCCCCCACCAACACCCCTTTCCAGCTAACACCCGCCCCTCCACTAACACCCTTTCCGACTAACACACCTCCCCCACCATCACCCCTTCCCTGCAGACACACACCCCACCACTAACACCCTTTCCAGCTAAAACCCCTCCCCCATCAACACCCCTTCCCTGCTAACACCCCTCCCCACCACTAACACCCTTTCCCACTAACACCCTTTCCAGCTAACACCCTTCCCCTCCACTTACACCCTTTCCAACTAACACCCCTCCCCCACCAACACCCCTTCCCTTCTAACACACACCCCACCACTAACAACCTTTCCAACTAAGACCCCTCCCCACCAACACCCTCCCCTCCCCTCCACTAACACCCTCCCCTCCACTAACACCTTCCCCTCCACTAACACCCTCCTCTACAAACACCCTCCTCCACTTACACCCTCCCTCATTACCTAACCTGAATATTAAATAAATAATTATCAATTTCCAACATTTCAGAGATTTGAATTGAACTCTGAACAGGTATGTCCTACAAATATCAATTCCAGCACTTCTAATGTGCCCAGGAAGGATTAATCATGTTGTTGATCATCTTAACTTAAGAATGTGAGTTTGTTCCATACTTGGTCCCCATTATACATATCTACAAGATCTTGCTGACATACGCATACAGCTATCACTGCACTCCAAGGCACGGACATCATGCAATGATTGTCAACCTTAAACAACATTCATTTCTATGTGTGACACACACGTCTCCAGGCCAATGAAAATATTATACATGTTCTACCAATATCACAGGAAGGAAATATAACTCGTATTGTATCAACATTATTATTGTTGTTGTTACTGTAAGAATCTAGTATCCAATAAAACATCCACCTTAGGAAATTTAACACAGCATGCATTAACAAGTACAACAACGTGATAATGACAAACAGATGTTTGCCTCCTTGGGGAAATGTTGGCAAGTATTTCAAGAAGTCCTCAGATTTTAAGGCCAAGTTAGTATACTCTGGGATGAGTGAGTGAGTGTTACATTTATTGCTGCTTTGAACAGTTTTCAGTTATATCGAGTCGTGTCAGGAAGGTGATGCAGGTACATCAGGGATAGAAATTACAAGAACATCTATAATATTAATTAAACTGGTCCTGGCTAGCGGGCTACTGCTAACTGCCATCCCGGTACAGTGGTATGAATAAATGACATTGCGTAGTTCACAATCAACAAAGCAGTTTCTCTATCACAGTCAACCAACTTTAACTGGCCTTGAGTTTGACCAAGGAAGAGAGGTGTGACGTGATTGCGAAGAGCCAGCATCCCTGTACACGACAGCAGTGCCACGACGGAGCACGTGTAGAGGGGCCTTGTGATGATGACTGAAGCCTCCCCACACCATGATGCTTCCTCCTCCCCGCGGGATGACGTGGACCTTGAGTGGCTGCAGCTGTCTCCGTTGCTCTTGGCTGTCGGTCACGCAAATGTGTCACCCGGATGTAACGGTCCTGCACTGTAGTAGTGACCCTTGGCCGCCCAGATTGAGGCCGGTCTTGGACAATGCCTGCTTTGCGAACTTTCTGGTGATAGTAGTCACATTTCATCCAAAGTGCCTCGCCATCGCATTTCACATTAGTCTGGTCTGTAGTATCTCAATGGCATTGGGTATACAGTTCTTTTCACAAATTATTTTGTTCATTTCACAAACAAAGAAACCTGACGTGCGTTTCATTGGTGGTGAAGTTTATACTGCTGCTGCCAAATATTTCACTCATTGTGCCTTTTATGATTGTAAACTTATCAGATGTGTTTCGAAGTGTTTGATTGTTCATTGATCTTAAGCGGTTATTGCCTGATTTCACAATTTTTGTACAAATCGATTTCTGGGTAACTTTCGCGTTTCAACTTGGCACAGTGTAGATATTATAATAAACTACGTTTACTATTTTCTATGACTAGCTTTCAACTATGGGCCATAACAAAGTGAACTAGTCAATGTAGTACATTGTTTGAGTAGGTCATTGCAAGTGTATTTAATCTGTTGAGGTCGTTTGTACATTAGTGACAGCCAGTTGAACGTGATAGGGGTCGAAATGGACCAAGAAATGGACAAGAACGAGCACCGAGCAGTCATCAAGTTTTTAACTTTAGAGAAAAAGTACCCTCCAAGAAATTCATGACCGCATGTCACAAGTGTATGGGTTTAGTGACCCAGCTATTCCTCACAACATGTAAACAGTGAGTGTTCCATACAAATACTCGACAGATTGAAATAGAATAGTCACAGTGTCACACCCTAAAGGGGTCAGTAGAGTAGACAGGAGATGTAGTTAAGGCAAAGAAGTGTCCTATAAACACAACCCACAACTCCTCCCAAACACAGGAGAGACTGCTTCAGTGTTGACATGAAAGGAACTTACATTGAAGGCGTGGGCTCGACAGCCTTTGTCTTTCGGTGAGACTGTAGATGTCACGTGACGTCAACCAGGAAGCAAGACCGGGTAGTGTTGTCTCGAGGTGTTACACATACAGGTAAAGAAATCTGATGTACATTTACATCAACGATTGTATATTAATGAAGTGTTTGAAGAACATTTACATGCTTGTGTTCACCTAGTTGCAGCTCATTATGTCCACAGGGCCCTTAAGCCAGGTAGAACTGATGAACGCTGGTGTTTATAAATCGAAACTTGAAGTCCTAATGCCTGTCCATGGTTATCTCCCTTGGTGTTCGTCTTACAGCAACAACGGAGCTCTGTTTTGATTACACACAACCATGTGTTTCCATAGTAACGTTATATATTGTTTTAAAAATAACTATGCATTCAACAACTATTACATGTACACGTGTGCACAGTCTGGCCTTAGGGCAGCAATAAAAGCAAAGGAATTGACTAGCTCAGCCAGCTCCTTTTCCGAGTTCCGGAAGCTAAAAAAACCCTTCCCCCTCCCTAATCCCCCCCCCCCCCAGCCCACAGCATCTTAGTGTTGATGGAGTGAGTGAGTGATATCTTACTGTTGGTGGAGTGAGTGAGTGACATCTTAGTGTTGGTGGAGTGGGTGAGTGACCTCTTAGTGTGGGTGGAGTGAGTGCGTGACATTTTAGTGTAGGTGGGGTGAGTGAGTGACATCTTAGTGTGGGTGGAGTGCATGACATCTTAGTGTGGGTGGAAAGAGTGCGTGACATCTTAGTGTTGGTGGAGTGAGTGGGTGACATCTTAGTGTTGGTGGAGTGAGTGGTGACATCTTAGTGTTGGTGGAGTGAGTCACATCTTAGTGTGGGTGGAGTGAGTGCGTGACAGCTTAGTGTTGGTGGAGTGAGTGCGTGACATCTTAGTGTTGGTTGAGTGAGTGGCACCTTAGTGTGGGTGGAGTGAGTCCATGACATCATAGTGTTGGTGGAGTGAGTGACATCTTAGTGTTGGTGGAGTGCGTGACATCTTAGTGTTGGTGGAGTCAGTGAATGGTATTTAAGTTTGGGTGGAGTGTGTCTGTGACACCTTAGTGTTGGTGGAGTGAGTGAGTGACACCTTAGTGTGGGTGGTGTGAGTGACATCATAGTGTGGGTGGAGTGAGTGCGTGACATGTTAGTGTGGGTGGAGTGAGTTAGTGACATCTTAGTGTTGGTGGAGTGAGTGACATCTTACTGCTGGTGGAGTATGTGAGTGACATATTAGTGTGTGTGGAGTGAGTGCGTGACATCTTAGTGTGGGTGGAGTGAGTGAGTGAAATCTTAGTGTGGGTGGAGTGAATGCGTGACATTTTAGTATAGGTGGGGTGAGTGAGTGACATCTTAGTGTGGGTGGAGTAAGTGACATCTTAGTGTGGGTGGAAAGAGTGCGTGACATCTTAGTTTGTGTGGATTGAGTGAGTGACATCTTAGTGTAGATTGAATGAGTGAGTGACAACTAAGTATGTGTGCAGTGAGTGCATGACATCATAGGGTTGGTGGAGTGAGTGACATCTTACTGTTGGTGGAGTGCGTGACAGTTTAGCGTTGGTGGTGTAAGTGCGTAAGATCTTAGTGTGGTTGGAGTCAGTGAGTGGTATTTACATTTGGGTGGAGTGAGTGGGTGACACCTTAGTGTGGGTCGTGTGAGTGACATCTTCGTGTGGATGGAGTGAGCGACATGTTAGTGTGGTTGGAGTGAGTCAGTGACATCTTAGTGTTGGTGGAATGAGTGACACTTAGTGTTGGTGGAGTGATTGAGTGACATCTTAGTGTTGGTGGAGTGCGTGATATCTTACTGTTGGTGGAGTGAGTGAGTGACATCTTAGTGTTGGTGGAGTGAGTGCGTGACATCTTAGTGTGGGTGGAGTGAGTGCGTGACATCTTAATGGGGATGGAGGGAGTTCGTGACATCTTAGTGTTGGTGGAGTTAGTAAGTGACATCTTAGTGTTGGTGGAGTGAGTGATATCTTACTGTTGGTGGAGTGAGTGAGTGAAATCTTAGTGGGGATGGAGTGAGTGTGTGACATCTTAGTTGGGGTGGAATGAGTGCGTGACATCTTAGTGTGGGTGGAGTGAGTGCGTGACATTTTAGTGTAGGTGGGGTGAGTGCGTGACATCTTAGTGGCGGTGGAGTGAGTGCGTGACATTTTAGTGTGGGTGGAGTGAGTGCGTGACATTTTGTGTAGGTGGGGTGAGTGAGTGACATCTTAGTGTGGGTGGAGTAGGTGACATCTTAGTGTTGGTGGAGTGAGTGACATCTTAGTGTGGGTGGAGCGAGTGCGTGACAGGTTAGTGTTGGTGGAGTGAGTGGGTGACATCTTAGTGTTGGTGGAGTGCGTGACATCTTAGTGTTGGTGGTTTGAGTGCGTAATATCTTAGTGTGGGTGGAGTCAGTGAATGGTATTTATGTTTGGGTGGAGTGAGGTGGTGACACCTTAGTGTTAGTGGAGTGAATGCGTGACACCTTAGTGTGAGTGGTGTGAGTGACATTTTAGTGTGGGTGGAGTGAGTGAGTGACATGTTAGTGTGGGTGGAGTCAGTGAGTGACATCTTAGTGTTGGTGGAGTGAGTGACATCTTACTGCTGGTGGAGTGAGTGAGTGACATATTAGTGTGGGTGGAGTGAGTGCGTGACATCTTAGTGTGGGTGGAGTGAGTGGGTGACATCTTAGTGTTGGTGGAGTGAGTGACATCTTAGTGCTGGTGGAGTGAGTGAGTGACATCTTAGTGTGGGTGTAGTGAGTGAGTAACATCTTAGTGTGTGTGGAGTGAGTGAGTTACATCTTAGTGTGGATGGAGTGAGTGCGTGACATCTTAATGTGGGTGGAGTGAGTGCGTGACATTTTAGTATAGGTGGGGTGAGTGAGTGACATCTTAGTGTGGGTGGAGTAGGTGACATCTTAGTATGGCTGGAAAGAGTGCGTGACATCTTAGTGTAGGTGGAGTGAGTGGGTGACATCTTAGTGTTGGTGGAGTGAGTCACATCTTAGTGTGGGTGGAGTGAGTGCGTGACAGGTTAGTGTTGGTGGAGTGAGTGGGTGACATATTAGTGTTGGTTTGAGTGCGTGACATCTTAGTGTTGGTGGTTTGAGTGCGTAATATCTTAGTGTGGGTGGAGTCAGTGAATGGTATTTAAGTTTGGGTGGAGTGAGGTGGTGACACCTTAGTGTTAGTGGAGTGAATGCGTAACACCTTAGTGTGTGTGGTGTGAGTGACATCTTAGTGTGGCTGGAGTGAGTGAGTGACATGTTAGTGTGGGTGGAGTGAGTGAGTGACATCTTAGTGTTGGTGGAGTGAGTGACATCTTACTGCTGGTGGAGTGAGTGAGTGACATATAAGAGTGGGTGGAGTGAGTGGGTAACATCTTAGTGTTAGTGGATTGAGTGACATCTTACTGCTGGTGGAGTGCGTGACATCTTACTGCTGTTAGAGTGAGTGAGTGACATCTTAGTGTGTGTGGAGTGAGTACGTGACATCTTAGTGTGGGTGGAGTGAGTGAGTGACATCTTAGTGTGGATGGAGTGAGTGCGTGACATCTTAGTGTGGGTGGAGTGAGTGCGTGACATTTTAGTATAGGTGGGGTGAGTGAGTGACATCTTCGTGTGGATTGAATGAGTGAGTGACAACTAAGTATGTGTGGAGTGAGTGCATGACATCTGGTGTTGGTGGAGTGAGTGAGATCTTACTGTTGGTGGAGTGCGTGACATTTTAGTGGTGGTGGTGTGAGTGCGTAAGATCTTAGTGTGGTTGGAGTCAGTGAGTGGTATTTACATTTGGGTGGAGTGAGTGGGTGACACATTAGTGTTGGTCGTGTGAGTGACATCTAAGTGTGGATGGAGTGAGTGACATGTTAGTGTCGTTGGATTGATTGAGTGACATCTTAGTGTTGGTGGAGTGCGTGATATCTTACTGTTGGTGGAGTGAGTGCGTGACATCTTAGTGTTGGTGGAGTGAGTGCGTGACATCTTAGTGTGGGTGGATTGAGTGCGTGACATTTTAGTGTATCTGGGGTGAGTGAGTGACATCTTAGTGTTGGTGGAGTTCGTGACATATTAGCGTGGGTGGAAAGAGTGAGTGACATATTTGTGTGAGTAGAGTGAGTGAGTGGCATCTTAGTGTGGATGGAGTGAGTGAGTGGCATCTTAGTGCGGATGGTGTGAGTGAGTGGCCTCTTAGTGTTGGTGGGGTAAGTGACAACTTACTGTTGGTGGAGTGAGTGCGTGACAGTTTAGTGTTGGTTGAGTGAGTGGCACCTTAGTGTGGGTGGAGTGAGTCCATGACATCATAGTGTTGGTGGAGTGAGTGACATCTTAGTGTTGGTGGAGTGCGTGACATCTTAGTGTTGGTGGAGTCAGTGAATGGTATTTAAGTTTGGGTGGAGTGTGTCTGTGACACCTTAGTGTTAGTGGAGTGAATGCGTAACACCTTAGTGTGTGTGGTGTGAGTGACATCTTAGTGTGGCTGGAGTGAGTGAGTGACATGTTAGTGTGGGTGGAGTGAGTGAGTGACATCTTAGTGTTGGTGGAGTGAGTGACATCTTACTGCTGGTGGAGTGAGTGAGTGACATATAAGAGTGGGTGGAGTGAGTGGGTAACATCTTAGTGTTAGTGGATTGAGTGACATCTTACTGCTGGTGGAGTGCGTGACATCTTACTGCTGTAAGAGTGAGTGAGTGACATCTTAGTGTGTGTGGAGTGAGTGCGTGACATCTTAGTGTGGGTGGAGTGAGTGAGTGACATCTTAGTGTGGATGGAGTGAGTGCGTGACATCTTAGTGTGGGTGGAGTGAGTGCGTGACATTTTAGTATAGGTGGGGTGAGTGAGTGACATCTTAGTGTGGATTGAATGAGTGAGTGACAACTAAGTATGTGTGGAGTGAGTGCATGACATCTGGTGTTGGTGGAGTGAGTGACATCTTACTGTTGGTGGAGTGCGTGACAGTTTAGCGTTGGTGGTGTAAGTGCGTAAGATCTTAGTGTGGTTGGAGTCAGTGAGTGGTATTTACATTTGGGTGGAGTGAGTGGGTGACACATTAGTGTTGGTCGTGTGAGTGACATCTTCGTGTGGATGGAGTGAGTGACA